TACCATATGCTAACACATATATATGGAATTTAAGAAAAATATGTCATGAAGAACCTAGGGGTAAGACAGGAATAAAGACACAGACTTACTAGAGAATGGACTTGAGGATATGGGGAGGGGGAAGGGTAAGCTGTGACAAAGCGAGAGAGTGGCATGGACATATATACACTATCAAACGTAAAATAGGTAGCTAGTGGGAAGCAGCCGCATAGCACAGGGAGATTAGCTCGGTGCTTTGTGACCACCTAGAGGGGTGTGATAGGGAGGGTGGAGGGAGGGAGACGCAAGAGGTAAGAGATATGGGAACATATGTATATGTATAACTGATTCACTTTGTTATAAAGCAGAAGCTAACACACCATTGTAAAGCAATTATACTCCAATAAAGATGTTAAAAAAAAAAAAGCTAAAAACAGAACTACCCTATAACCCAGCAATCCCACTACCGGGCACATACCCTGAGAAAACTGTAATTCAAAAAGAGACATGTACCACAATGTTCATTGCAGCACTATTTAGAATAGCCAGGACATGGAAGCAACCTAAGTGTCCATCGACAGATGAATGCATAAAGAAGATGTGGCGCATATACACAATGGAATATTACTCAGGTATAAAAAAGAAATGAAATTGAGTTATTTGTGAGAGGTGGATGGACCTAGAGTCTGTCATACAGAGTGAAGGATGCCAGAAAGAGAAAAACAAATATTGTATGCTAACACATATATATGGAGTCCAGAAAAAAAAAATTGCTCGAATGAATTTACGGCCAGAACCAGAATAATAACACAGACATAGATAATGGACTTGAGGACACGGGGTGGGAAGGGTACGCTGGGACAAAATGAGAGAGTAGCACTGATATATATACACTACCAAATGTAAAACAGGTAGCTAGCGGGAAGCTGTTGCACAGCACAGGGAGTCCAGATTAGTGCTTTGTTAGTAGAGGGGTGGGATAGGGAGGGTGGGAGGGAGGCGCAAGAGGGAGGGGATATGGGGATATATATATATATATATATATACATACACCTGATTCACTTTTTTATACACCAGAAACTAACCCAACATTGTAAAACAAGTATACTCCTATAAATATGTTTAAAAAAAACAAAAAGAAACTATCTCAAAGGCATTTTTTTACAGTCCTTCCTTTAGAGTAAGGTAATGCTATTAAATAATCCAGTCCATCTACAAACAGCTCCCTGTATCTGCTGTAGTGTCTTCTACCATATCATTCTATATTTATGCATGTGTGAGATAATAAGTGTTCTAAACATTCTTATTTTGATAACCTGAACCTGTTGTTACTTCTGGGCTCTTGTCCTCTCCAAGTTACACAGTAAAGCCCAGGGCAAATGGGAAGAAGTTCAGTGTTGGTTCCTGCCTCATATCCCTTACTGTGCCACTGCCTCTTGGACCATAGTTTCCTCCACCGTAAGTTTCTCTTATGTTCCTACTGCCACCAAAATTTCCAGTCTTCATTGGACCATAGATATAAGGTTGCTAATTATAATTTCTAAAAACATTCTAATTTCTACTTCCATAAATTTTTCCTGCATAGTTGTCGTAATCACCTCTGTAGCCTCCCCACTAATTGCCTCTGGCTGCCAGATCCAGGTTCTCCACTATTATATCTTCATCTTCCTCCTTCATAACTTGTGCTACCTCTAAAATTGCCACCCCCAGATCTTCCTCCATACCCATTATAGCTATCCCCAAATCCATGTCCTCTTCCATATCCATCAGATCCTACTCTACACTTGCCTCATGATCCTGGTCCCAAAATTCACTGCCTCTGCACGAATCCCTCAAAGTCTCCTCTGACACTCCTAGAACTTTGGACTTCTTGTGTTTCTTGTCTAGATAAAGCCTTTCTTACTTCTGACCACCGATGGTATGGTATTGCTGCAGTACAGTTTAATCCACATGATCATGGTTATCAAAAGTAGTAAACCCAGAACTTCCCTTGTGGTCAAGTGGTTAAGACTCTGCCCTTTCAAAGCGGGGGATGTAGGTTCAATCCCTGATGAGGGATCCCATGTGCTGCACAGTGCAGCCAAAAAAAAAAGTAATAAACCCAATGCTTCTTTTCTTTCTAGACTGCCAATGCCTCCTTTCTTTCCACACTGCCTATCAGTAATTATCTCAAATGACATCAACTTTTCCATAGTCCTTGCAGTAATCTCTAAGCTGATGTTCTTTGGTATCTTCTTTAGTTCCACCAACAAACAGCTTTTCAGTTACATGAGTGCCAGGTTGTCCAGATTCCTCTCTGGCTATGGCACATTTTGGCTCAATCACTCTTCCATCAATTGAATGAGATTTTGCAGCCATGGCAGCATCAACCTTATCTATGGATGGAAAAGTTACAAAACCAAATACTCTTTTGAGTTTTGCTTTCAGGATCTCTCATTACCAGAGTCTGTAAGTTTTCCCCATGGCTCATAGTATCTCCTCAAGCTTTCTTCTGTGGTTTCAAAGCTTAAGCCACCAATAATGTTGATAGAAATGTCCCTTTTCTCTCTCAGTAGCAGACTCAGTCACTTCAGCTGGATTTCAGCCCAGACAGATGAGAGAGATATCCACCAATGAGCATGAGCATACTTGTCCTGACACTGTTCTCTTGAGGCATTCTTTTCTTGATGGTCTCTGCTTCAGTGTAATGCAGGCAGAGACCTTCCGTACCACAAGATGGTTTTCAAAATCATTTATATTTCATGTTAGATCTCTGATTTCTCTTTTTATATTTGTTTTGTGAGCTAGCTTAATTTCCCCAAATAACTATTTTTTCTCAAACTTTCCAAACTGAAGCTTTCCATCTTTCTCAATTTTCCTCCCTCTCTCCCTTCCATTTTATTGACGTTCCCTTTAGTTCCTTTCAGCTGACTTGCATTACTGCCACACTGATTATTATAGTTTTATATTAAAATGCTAATAATAGAGCAAACTGGGTTTTATTATTTATCACCATTTTTTGATAATATCATCAATATAGTCATCCAGATATATATTAGAATTACTTTGTGGTGTTGAAATATATGCAAATGCTATTTTAAGTGAATTTTATTAAATTTACTGCTCATTTTATGGGAAATCTTGAATCTAGTTTGTTCAAAATTTTTTAATATAATATGTATATTTCTGCATACACGATTCATATAAAAATGGAAGTGACTTTTAAGATTTCTGAAACATATTTGACATACTTCTCCCCTAAATTTAACATAAAGATTCTCTCAATCAGGCATTTAGGCCTAATTTTGTCCCTGTCATTGAGGCAAAATTCTTGTGAGAATTCTTTACTCCACACCAAGTGAATTATGAAGATTTCCACTGTCTGGCAGGAGCAGGCACTATTCCTGGCCCTATGTGAGCTCACGGTATTTCTCTCTAATCTTTTTCAGTTTCTTTCTTGGGGGGTTGCACATGTGCACATTGGTTGGCACTCAACTGACACTTGAGGAAGAGGACCCTCCACTTGGATTTCCCTTCTCTGTCCTGTGGCCTCTGAAATTTCTCTCCATCCAGTGATGTTCAAAGTCTCATCTGGTTTCTTACCTCTTTCTCAGGGTTCATTGCTCTTCATTGTCTTATGTCCGATGTCTTCAAACCTGTCATTTCATATATTTTGTTTTTTTAAAGTTGATTTAGGCAAGAGGTTAAATCTGGTTCTCATTACTTCATTTTGAGTAAATAGGAAGTAATTTGAAAACACTTCCGTCAAATTCCTAGAAAAAGAGTATGTATGCTTATTAATACGTTTTTAATATAAATTTTTTTAAATTTTGGCTGCGTTGAGTCTTCGTTGCTGCATGCAGGCTTTCTCTAGTTGTGGCAAGCAGAAGATACTCTGCTGTGCATGGGCTTCTCATTGTGGTGGAGAATGGGCTCTAGGCACACGGGCTTCAGTAGCTGTGGCACGTGGGCTCAGTAGTTGTGGCACATGGGCCCTAGAGCACAGGTTCACTAGTTGTGGCACAGAGGTTTAGTTGCTCTGTGGCATGTGGGATCTTCCCAGACCAGGGTTTGAACCTGTGTCCCCTGCATTGGCAGACAGATTCTTAACCACTGCACCACCAGGGAAGCCCTGTTTATTAATACTTTGAAATGTTTCTAAGCTTCCTATTCTGTTACATCTAATCAGCGATTTTTGTATTAGTAAAATAATTTTAATTTTACTTATTGTAGCTTTAAATGTCTTCATGCTTAGTTTTTCCTCATTTTTTCTTCTGATTATTGATATTATTTTTAATAAACTTCAGAATTTTTCCTCTTTGAAAAAGAAAAATAGGGCTTCCCTGGTGGCGCAGTGGTTGAGAGTCCGCCTGCCGATGCAGGGGACACGGGTTCGTGCCCCGGTCCGGGAAGATCCCACGTGCCGCGGAGCGGCTGGGCCCGTGAGCCATGGCCGCTGGGCCTGTGCGTCTGGAGCCTGTGCCCTGCAACGGGAGAGGCCACAACAGTGAGAGGCCCGAGTACCGCAAAAAAAAAAAAAAAAAAAAAAAAAAAAAGAAAGAAAAATGCCAGGACCTTTGGCATATTTTAGAAGTTCATTCATTACGCGCTGTTATTTAAATATAAAAACACTAGGGTGAATCTGCAGTATGGCGGACAAGTACACACCCAGGTGACTAAAAACTAAGAGGACCCCACAAGTTAAATAAGAAAGATTTTAGTGCTCACCTGAACCACCTTAACCACCCTTCTAATGCACCTGAAAGTCACTTTACTAGACTTTACTTATCTAATTTTCCACAATTTCTCCCAGAGCCCAAGTGGCTGTAATTATGGATCTTGAGCGCGGGTTCCAACGGAGCAGAAGGGAGGCGTACTGGAGCTCAACAACTGGGTCCAGTGGGGAAATGTGCCCGCGCCCCCGGCGCATTGTGGGTAATGTAGTCCCGTGCCCACCGGTGATCTGGCGAGTACGGTCTTGAGCTTCGGAGCCCTCTGGGCATTTTGGGTATTGTAGTCCCGCCCAGAGGTATTGTGGGTATCGCACTTCCGCTTCGCGCTGTCGTATTTCTGGACATTGTGACCATCTTTTAAAGCTCGTGGTGAGCAAGCCCGCCCGTGGCCGCTGACTCCCAGGGATAGAGGGTTGGGAAAACTTGGCGAGGGCAGGCGGGGTTGGTCTGCCCTGTCCGCGGGTTCCTTGAGGTTTGATTGTTTTCCGGACGGGGTCGGACGCAGTCCGCTTAGTAGGGGTTGTGGGCTGGGTCTCGGGTCTCGTGCTGTCCGGCGGTGCTGGGGAGCCAGCGTCCTGTCCCGGAGGGGTCTGGACTGGTGCAGGTGATTTGGAGGACATAAGTACCCCTCGCCCGGAGCAGACGTCTCCACTGCTGGGGCGCGCGGCTCGGGCATCCTTCCTGGGTCTTAATTGGGGAGCGCGGCTCGGGCATCCTTCCTGGGTCTTAATTGGGGAGCGCGGCTGGGTGGTGCCAACCATGGTGATGGAGGCGCCGCTTGGCCTCGATGTCCCGGATTTTGGGGGAAGGACTGGCCTGGGGCAAACACCCAGACTTGCCTTGATTGGGGTGGGGAGGACGACTTGGGTCAGCGGCATCGGGGCCCGCAGGCTCCTGGGGGAGTTGGAAGGGCCTGGTGGGAGTCAGACATCCCCGGGTTTGCGTGGGGCGTCCTTGTGCCCAGATCTACGACTCCAGAAGTTGTCTGGCTCCTACGGCGCTGGGGCTTGGGGTGGAGCAAGTGGAGTGCAGCCCACGGGGCAGGGAACTTTCCTCAACCCCCAGGGGGCTGGTGGCTGACTCCCTGAATTACTGGGGATGGAAGAGAGGAGTGGGTGGTAAGACGTCCAGACTTAAGTTTTATTTTAAATTTTGCATTATGAAAACGTTGTAAATATACACAGAAGTAGCCGTGAGGTCTCCTGGATTCATCGCTCAGATTCACCACTTACGAATGAGAGCCCTATCTTTCTCTTCCAAATCTGCAACCTCAAGTGTGCATCTCTTTGGGCATTGCCTTTCCCTCGGGGTCTATCCCAGGCCTGCTGTGGGAGCCCCGCCCTCCATAGGGAGAGTTCAAATCCAGGTCTGCCTCTTTCTCATAGTCACGTTGAGCAAGGTACTGAACCTCCTGGGGCTGTTGGGAGTGTGGAAAGGGGAAAACGGCTGTCTGGTACATGCTAATATGACGTTCATTTCAATAACTTTCAATAACCCCCATAGGCATATAGAAGATTAATGTCATGCTGGACATCAGCATGACATGAGAGAAGGCTTATTCTAAAACCCATACCCTGTTTCTGTCCCGTGTATTGTCCTTCCCTTCCATACCTGGTTCTGATACCTTACTTTAGTGAAGCCAGCTGCAGGCTTGGGGGTTTCTAGCCTGCTCTCTGTGCTGGGAGAGAATCCTGAGGCCAGAACCACTTCTGTTGTACCAGGTTTGCCCTGGAGCACTCTGCTCCCTCACATCCAGAGGGGACTGCCCGTTAGGGAGGAGGGAACTCCTAGGGGCCTGGCAGCCCTGCCTCAGATGGGTACCACTTCCTTGTTGTGTTCTTGTCTTTGGTCATAATGGAGGGTGTGTCCTTGATAGCCTATGCCAAAGTCATAATCCCTTTGGGGCACAGCTGCAGGTGGTCTCCCAGGAAGACAGGCTTGTTCTTGAAGGGGCACATTCCTGTGCCCTCATTCAGGACTTTCTATCTTCTCCGGAGTTGCTCCTGCCTTGTCCTGCATTGTTTCTCTCCATATACATTCACACTGTTGTATTCTCAGGGCCTTAGAGTGGTGCGAAAACAACGATGGTGAAAAGTACTGTTTTGTTAGCAGTAGTCCTGTATTGGCAGTGTGCTTTCTATTCACTGCCATATTTTATTTTCTCAGTCACCTTGCACATTAGGTAGTTGAATTCTCATTTTCTAGAGAGGGAAATGGTGTAGTAGAGGATTAAGTAACTTTTACTTTGGAGCTATTAAAACTTTCAAAGTTTTAATGAAAATTTAAAAGGAGCTGCTCTATTTTTCACGTTTGTCTCATACATCTAATGCTGATAAAGATAAAATATATGTTCATTTTCTCCTGATCATTGGTCTCAGCCCCTAACAGTAATGGTGACATTAATGACACCAGCAGAAGGCTGGAATCAGACCAGTGTTTGAAGTCCACATACCGCCCACCCCTACCCCCACCCCCATAAAGTTTTTTCTCCTTTCCTTTTTTGGGGGTATAGAAGGAGATGGAGTTATTACATTTAAAGTTTATTATGAAAATTTTACAAATGCAGCCAAAAGTAGTGAGAATACTGAAAGAGCATCTTTGTACCTCTCACTCAGCTTTGTACCTCTCAACTCAGCAGTTGTTAACATTCTGCTCTTCTCTTTCTTTTAGTTTTCTCTGTTGTAGTATTTTGCAGCAAATCCCAGGTATTTTACCTGTAAATACTTCAGTGTGCATCGTTTTTGAATAAGGACTTTAAAGAAAATAACCTTTATACCAAATGGCACACCCAACAAAATTAACTATAATTCCTTAATGTCATCTAATATTCAGCCTGTGTTCATTTACCCCATTTGTCTCAAAATGCCTTTCTACAGTTTAAATCCTACTCTCTTAACCCAGTTAAGAGGCATGAACAGGGAAATATCTGGAATTCTGTCTTCTGAATCCCCCCTTCCCCTTTCTTTATACCCACTCTTACCTTGCTGATCTTTGTTAATAGCAGGAGTCCACCTCTGGGCACTTGCTCCTTGACCTCAGCGTTCTTCTTGCCTCCTTGTGTTTCACAGATTTTCTCACTAATCTGATGAGCTGTTAAATCCTGTCAATTCTTCCCTTTCTCCTCTCCCCTCACCTTTGTGTTAGCTCAGCATAATTTGCCTTTCCCCATGTTCTAGTTTGTCTGTTAAAAAAGGACCCGCCCTTTGGGCTCTGAAGCTGGACTCTTAGCCTCCACCACCTATTGACTCTGTGACCTTGGATATTGCCTCTGTTCTATGTGCCTTCTTTTTTCTCAACTGTAAAATGGGGTTGATAGCAACGTCAGGGTTGTTGTGAGGTGGAAATGCGCCTGTGCTTCTGAAGTGGTTAGGGTGCCTGGTGCACAGTGAGTGCTCAGGGGAAAGTGAGTTGTGGTGATGATTATTATCAATTCTGAATTGCCCCCCCCAACCCACCTTTCCAGAATTATCCTTTACTCTTCACTCTGATTGGACTCTGTCTTACAGTCACATGGGAATATATTCTATTCCATGCAGTTGTATTCCTTCATGCCTTTATTTTTGAATTTTATTTATTTTTTTATATAACAGGTTCTTAGTAGTTATCAGTTTTAAACATATTAGTGTATATATGTCAATCCCAATCTCCCAATTCATACCACTGCCACCACCACCCCCGCCACTTTCCCCCCTCGGTGTCCATACATTTGTTCTCTACATCTGTGTCTCAATTTCTGCCCTGCAAACTGGTTCATCTGTACCGTTTTTCTAGGTTCCACATATATGTGTTAATATACGATATTTGTTTTTCTCTTTCTGACTTACTTCACTCTGTATGACAGTCTCTATATCCATCCACGTCTCTACAAATGACCCAATTTCGTTCCTTTTTATGGCTGAGTAATATTCCATTGTATATATGTACCACATCTTCTTTATCCATTTGTCTGTCGATGGGCATTTAGGTTGCTTCCATGACCTGGCTATCGTAAATAGTGCTGCAATGAACATTGGGGTGCATGTGTCTTTTTGACTTATGGTTTTCTCTGGGTATATGCCCAGTAGTGGGATTGCTGGGTCATATGGTAATTCTATTTTTAGTTTTTTAAGGAACCTCCATACTGTTCTCCATAGTGGCTGTATCAATTTACATTCCCACCAACAGTGCAGGAGGGCTCCCTTTTCTCCACACCCTCACCAGCATTTGTTGTTTGTAGGTTTTCTGATGATGCCCATTCTAACTGGTTTGAGGTCATACCTCATTGTAGTTTTGATTTGCATTTCTCTAATAAGAAGTGATGTTGAGCAGCTTTTCATGTGCTTCTTGGCCATCTGTATGTCTTCCTTGGAGAAATGTCTATTTAGGTCTTCTGCCCATTTTTGGATTGGGTTATTTGTTTTTTTAATATTGAGCTGCATGAGCTGTTTATATGTTTTGGAGATTAATCCTTTGTCCGTTGATTCATTTGCTAAGATTTTCTCCCATTCTGAGGGTTGTCTTTTCGTCTTGTTTGTAGTTTCTTTTGCTTTGAAAAAGCTTTGAAGTTTCATTAGGTCCCATTTGTTTATTTTTGTTTTTATTTCCATTACTCTAGGAGGTGGATCAAAAAATATCTTGCTGTGATTTCTGTCAAAGAGTGTTCTTCCTATGTTTTCCTCTAAGAGTTTTATAGGGTCCCGTCTTACACTTAGGTCTCTAATCCATTTTGAGTTTGTTTTTGTGTATGGTGTTAGGGAGTGTTCTAATTATATTCTTTTACATGTAGCTGTCCAGTTATCCCAGCACCACTTATTGAAGAGACTGTCTTTTCTCCATTGTATATCCTTGCCTCCTTTTTCACAGATCATTTGACCATAGGTGCATGAGTTTATCTTTGGCCTTTCTATCCTGTTCCATTGATCTGTATTTCTGTTTTTGTGCCAGTACCATATTGTCTTGATGACTGTGGCTTTGTAGTATAGTCTGAAGTCAGGGAGTCTGATTCCTCCAGTTCTGTTTTTTTTTCCTCAAGACTGCTTTGGCTATTCGGGGTCTTTTGTGTCTCCATACAAATTTTAAGATTTTTTGTTCTAGTTCTGTAAAAAATGCCATTGGTAATTGGATAGGGATTGCATTGAATCTGTAGATTGCTTTGGGTAGTAGACTCATTTTCACAATATTGTTTCTTCCAATCCAAGAACATGGTATATCTCTCCAACTGTTTGTATCATCTTTATTTTCTTTCATCAGTGTCTTATAGTTTTCTGCATACAGGTCTTTTGTCTCCCTAGGTAGGTTTATTCCTAGGTATTTTATTCTTTTTGTTGCAGTGGCAAATGAGAGTGTTTCCTTAATTTCTCTTTCAGATTTTTCGTCATTAGTGTATAGGA